CCCAAATTCTCTTCCAATTTCCTTTTTTGTTTATCAGTTAAATTTTTTGCTAACATTTTAGTCTTTTCTCTATTAATTTTTAATCCTGCCACTATTCCAAATTTTTCTATTTCACCCATAAGAATATTTCCTCTCTCTATCGGTTCCTCAATGAAGAAAACCAGGTCATCAGCGAATGCTTGTAACTTATATTCCTCTGTACTTGCTTTCTAAATGTGCAAACTGCATTATTTTCCTAAGAAGGAGAGAAGAAATAAAATTGTAATATTCATGCTGTAGGGTCCTTATATGCTTCTGGAATGCCATACTGCTATACAGTGGTACCTCAGTACTTGTCATTAATTGGTTCCAGGAAGCGTGATGAGTACCAAAAATAAATTTCAATACATTCCCAAACCAAAAACAATGCACATTTTAAGGCAATATGTTAAAAGCTGGGATTGTATACTTTACATGAGAAACAAATCTAAAAATTAATACTTAGATTAAATAAAATAAAAACTTCACTTTAACTGTACTCATGAGAAAATAAGTGCAAATATATTCAAAATTACCGCAGAAACTAAGATAAGACTGAAAGGGGATGTGCACAAGGCAAGGACTACCATATGATTAACTTTGTTTTGGCTGGAAAAAGTAATGAATCATGAGGCAACAGACACTGACAAGTTCTAGCTTGCAAGTTCTAGCTCTACCAAACAAACGACAAGTACCAGGACAAAACGTTTTCTTCAAAGTGAATTGAGTACCAAATTGGATGAGTTTCAAAGCAGTTGAATACCAAAGTACCACTATATAGTATTGTTGTCAATGCTTAGGAATTTTAGAAGACAGATTTTGTCCTAAGTCAGATTCTTGCAAAAGAGATGAAACAAAGCACCGATAATATTACTTTTTACAAAAAGAGCAGGAGTCACAAATGAGTAGTCTGTGCCCACATACAGTAAATGTATTTGATAATTCCTATCATCTCTTACATTGTTCATGCTGATTAAAGTTGACAGACATCAGGAATCAGCAGAATCTGGAGGAACATATTGTATCTATTCCTGCCCTAAGTTAAGGTAAATTCTTAGAAGAGAACAAAAGATAAATGTGAAATTGGGGGTGTACTATACTGATCTGTTATAAAATAAAGTGTGCCTCTGTAGGTAGTGATGCATCAGTTGACTAATTTTTTAGTCTGTCAGATGCTTGGTAATTCTGTTTCACAGTCCCAGTTGTAGCTTAATAAAATTATATCGAGTATCTTACAGGATTTTTGATCAATGTTACATACTTTTTATAACCGCTGGGTCACAGATTTTCTAGCCTCCAATAAAACAGTTAGTATGCATTCTTATTGACAGCAGTTTTTGTAAGAATTCACAGATCAGTAGTTCAGTTATTAACAAGTAGTAATTATGGCTTTTAACCTTCTACTCCAGATTTAGAAGAATGTGACATTAGATTATAGTATAATACCAATTACTTTTAAATTATGTTTTTTCCTGTCAGTAGAGTACAGTACTCTTTGATAGTAAAGGCTCTTTTTATGTAATATCAACAATTACTGCTGCTACATAGTTCCTGAAGCAAATTTGATTGTTAATTTTATCATAAATAAGATTTAAACTCATCCTTAAGTTCCAAGGAATTGGGTATTTAGCATGAGTGAGTAAAATTTCACCATCCAATTTTTGAAAAATGGTGTTGGACTCAGCAATTGTTCCATGTTGACATGTCTATTTTGAAAGAAGCTTTGCATTGATACCAACCAGATTATATTTGAAGCTTTAAAATCCTTATTGGTTTTGAGCTTGTCATCTTGATTCCTATCTTTTGAGAAACTATTCTAAATGTGATTGTACAATATCCGGTTTCATTATTGAAACTTGAACATAAGGAGCTGAAACATGTTTTA